GGGTTTTTTTTTTTTAATCCCAGCTTCAAATGAGATTTTTTTTTCCTGAAGCTAAGGAAGTTTAGCAGAATCTGAAAAGAGCAGTTTTTAGTTAGCTTTATCTTTAGTGAACAGAACTTGCTTTCTTAGTGACTATTGGTGGTGGTTGCTTCTCAAAGGAAAAGGCAGATGTTAACCTTTGATAATAGAGGAAGGGGCAAGCAGGTTTACAGAAGCAGAAGTCAGCCCCTCAGTTTTAGCTTTGTTGCGTCAGATCAGAGTGTTCCTTATTCTGCTTTCTTCCTAAGTAAGCTCATTAATTGTATTTAAATAATGTTAAAGTTTTCTATTTCCCCTTTCTCCTTCACCATCATAGCTACAAAGGAGAGACTTCCCAGTTTGGCATGGGGAGAACTACCACGTCTACTCCTTGGAAATGAAGCACAACCAGAAGAAACATGGGGTTCATGAGTGCCAGCCTACAGGAAGGGGTGCATCCTTACTGAGATGTATTTCTTGTACTCTGTGGAATGCAAGTCTATCAGCAATTTAAGTGACCAAAGAAAAATGAGTTACAATGACAGCAAGCTAGTCTGACAGCCAAAATTGTTAGTGTTCAGACATCTGTACTGGCCTGCCCTTGGGGTTCTGACAGGCTATGCCTTCAGCAGCCACTAAGAGCCCCACCCATGCACATTCACTATGCTAGCTTTTAAAAGGGCCCCGCCCACCTCCCATCTCTCTCTCCCTCTCTCTCTCTCTCTCCCCCTCTCTCTCTCTCTCTGTGTGTGTGTGTCTGTGTGTGTGTGTCTCTCTGTGTGTGTGTGTCTGTGTGTGTGTGTGTGTGTCTCTGTGTGTGTGTGTCTCTCTCTGTGTGTGTGTGTGTGTCTGTTTGTGTGTGTGTTTCTCTGCCTCTCTCTCCCCCTCTCTCTCTCTCTCTCTCTCTGTGTGTGTGTCTGTGTGTGTGTGTGTCTGTGTGTGTGTGTTTCTCTGCCTGTCTCTCCCCCCCAATCTCTGTGTGTGTGTGTGTGTGTGTGTGTGTCTGTTTGTGTGTGTGTGTTTCTCTGCCTCTCTCTCCCCCTCTCTCTGTGTGTGTGTGTGTGTGTGTGTGTGTGTGTCTGTGTGTGTGTGTGTGTGTTTCTCTGTCTCTCTCTCCCCCTCTCTCTCTCCTCCTTCCCCCCTCACCGCCCTTCTTCTGCTCCTGTCACCAGAGGCTGGTCTTCCCTCTCCCCTCCTTCCTTTTTCCATTCACTTCCCCCCAATTAAAAAGCAGCAAAACCCTCCACCCAAGCTCTGTTGCACGGCATTTTTCTCTTATGTACCACTTTTTAAAATCACAGCAAATATAGATCCATGTCGTTTGGCATGCTTCTGTGTGTCCCCCTCTGTAGAATGATTTGTGTGGAAATCCAAACTGCTTGCCATGGTGGACACATGTGTACTTATTCTCAGTCCCTTTGCCTTTTCCTTGTCTATGCTGTCCTGCTGTAAATGAGACCCATTCACAGAATCTCAACAATCCATGTCAAGCCTGGTGACACCTTGTCATTGGGTGTCATCTTCTCAAGACTGGGCCACACTGGTCTCCCATTCTGGATATCTTTGGCCTATTTTAACTCCAGGCTTCCCTAAACTTAGGGAACCCAACACCAGGGTGATCTCATTGGTAAACTTTTGCCACACGACTTGGGATAGAATGAGTCACTTTATTATGCCATCATTTTGCTACATTTACTATGCACCACTGTAGAATTCATCATCTTCATCTTAACTTGGCCAATGATGGCATCTCATTCCAAAGTTAGAAAGAAATTATAATGGATAGAATACTATTTATAAATACATTTTCTAAGATTGTTGCATTAACTTTTCTTGGGGAGACATGTCATAGATCATCAACAGAACAAAAAGATGACTTCAACCATATATGGCTTGGTGAACCCATGAGTTGAATTAAGACTACTTATAGAAATATGGGAAAGAAATCCCTTTCAAGAATCTGGGCAAAGTGTAGGATTCCACCAAGCTATTCTCTACATAGCAGCCATTAACAGCTTATGTGTTTTGAAGAGACTCAAGGCCTTATGGCTACAATTCACTATTTTGTGCTCTGCTCATATGATGCCTTGTGAGACATTTGGATGCCACTTCATGAACTACTCATGGCCAACTTCTGTACTACCCTGGGAGTCCTCCCTTTCCTCTCCGTGAGGAAAAGTTAATTGGCCCAAAGTTGTTATGGTATATCTTACCACTTGGGAGATGGTGGCATGTGGCTCTCTGTGAGTTTGAGGCCAGCCTCGTCTACAGAATAAGTTCCAGGATAGCTAAGGCAACACAGAAAAACCTGGCCTCAAAAAACTTAAAGAAAAAAGAATGTGAAGAGAAAGAGACAGAAGCCTGATGCTATGTGAGTCAAAATTTTCACACAACTGAGAACTATGATTTCTTAGTGTGACCTTTGAATTTAACCATATCATTACTCCTCTATTATCCCTACCCCTAAAAATAGACTCTAGAAAGGTCATTTTAATTACTTACAAAATGGAAATTCTTAAGAGAAATAAGTAAAACTGCAATTTATTTTACTTACTTATCAGGTTCAACACTGTATCCTTTGAAGGGCATCCCTTCAAAAGTCACCAAGTCATATTCATGCCATGTTGTTAAGAGACTTAATAGCATCTCTCCCTCCCCCTTCCCCCCCCCCCGGTCTGGATGCCCACATCTAATTCCCTCACTTCTAATAAATGAACCCAACTGTGCTTCATACTCACTTGTCCTGAAAGCCTTCTTTGATAGACTCGTTCTTAACCTGAGGAGACTTCTAGAACTGGGAGGCTCCCAGGTGCAGCCAGCAGTCCAGCTACACTTATCCTGCTCCCATTCGGAGAACTCTGGCAAAAGTGGCAGCAGCCAAAGTCCTTGCAGAAAAGGAAAGCCTGGCATGGGTGTGGGAGAGCGAACAGTGGCTGGAGAAGCAAGTGGAAAGAGCACCCATTGAAGAGAAAGGGCAGGACTCTCTCTCCTGGGGCAAACTGCGGAGTAATGTGAGCACAGAGTTGGCCACGGTCCTGTCTGCTGGATGATAAAGGTAGAGGATCCCATAGCAGTTCCTGCCGATAGCCGTGGATTTTGTGGGTCTAACCACTTGTGTGCAGATTGAATAACAGACAGTCTCACAGTGGGAGACAGACAGATGAACACTGGGCAGAAAGCATTCCAGTGCCCACAGCTGGAAGGTCAGTCAGGAGACACTGAGGCATGAACAGGATGAGTATGAGAGAGTCAGAGGGTAAACATGAATATAGCAATGCTGATGACCTGCTTTCAGAGCCCAAAGAGGGTTTCATGTAATGAAGCACCTTGACGTGACTCCCCACACACTGTGAGGCCAGGAGGAACACTGAGCAAACACAGTCGTCGGACCGTTCGCCAGTAGCTCACAGTATGACTGGTGCTGAAAACACAACATACATGGTCTCTCAGTCTGCAGTGGACTTCCTCTACAGGAGGATTTAGAACCATCTTTTTTCTTTGGGCAAATCTGTTCTTATAACCTTCTTATTTGTTTGTCTGTTAATTATTTACTTACTGATCTGTGTGGATATGCAAATGGAAGTCAGAGGACAGCTTGCAGAAGTCAGAGGACAGCTTGCAGAAGCTGGTTCTCTATTTCCATTGTATGGGCCCTGGTGATCAAATTCAGGTCATCGAGTTTAATATCCGGTGTCTTATCCTCTGCATCATCTCTCTGGCCTTCACATTTCTTCTTTTTTTCATAGTATGTTGCTATAATTCTTCTAGTTTGCTACTAATAATTGAATTTCCTAATGAGCCTAATGTATAAGTTACACTTCATCTATAACTCTGGATAGACAGACAGAGTGACAGATAAATAGAAAAACTATATAAATAGGACAAGGTGTCACCTATTATTTCAGTCATCCATTGGGTATCTTTATCCTGAGAACAAAGAAGTGTGACACACACCATTTTGGGGTGAGAAAAGCATATAGATATCATATAGAAGTGAATTATGTCGTACTTAAGGTGACTACGGTTGGTATAGCTTGTTCATTGTGCTAAGCCTACATGGTAGACATTTCTAGAAATCTCTGTACTAATTTTATAAACCCCAAGGTCAAATTACTAGTTCCATAACGTTGTATGTTGTCCTAGATTCTTTCTCAATACTAAGTATAAGAAATTTACCTTCCATCTCCCAATCTCCTGTTAGATAACAAACCCTGAAGAAAGAGAGGGAGTGTCACAGAGGAGCAGAAAGTAGACAGTCACTTGCCTGGTGCCATCAAACTTAAATAGGTCTGCTATGGGCTGAATTGTGTCACCTAAGATATACAAGTTAAAGATTTGATTTCCATCACTCCGATAGTGAAGAAATAATTAAAGTCATCTTATCAAATCCAATATGACACATGTTCTTGCAAGAAGACAAGGACACAGACACACAAATGATGAACTTGTGGGGGAAAAGCCATCTCAGAAAGACTAGCAGAGACCCTTGAAAGAAACACATGCTTACATCCTTTGATTTCCAGCCTCCAGAAACCATCTAGTCATGGATGATCATGGACACTCACACAGAATTTCAAAAGAAAAGAATGATCACGTGAGAAAGTGTGACAGTCCGGCATAACCTAGAAGCATAGGCATTTCTTTCCAAAGTAGAAAACACAAGTGCATGTACTGAGAATATATACAAAATATAGTTGAAGATCACATATGCCAAGCATTCATTATTCATTTCTTAATGCAACAAACATCTTTACAACATTTTAATCTGCCCATGACATCTTCCCTACTCAACTGAAAAATAGTATGTTTCCTCAATCAGAAAAAGTTTGTTTACTTCTTCTTACATTGAATTTACCTTACTAATGTAAAAATATCCTTAATTATCAACTTATTGTTAATACTTACTCTAAAAACAAACTCATGGTAGATGAATGGCTCTTTAGAACTTCTCCACTTAAAATAAATTTTATGGCTTTCCTAAATCAAGGATAAAACACAGTATAAATTAAAGGGTTCATTGTTGAGTTATAATATCCACTCCAACAACAAATTTCATAGATGCAGACAGGAGTAATGAATCCCATAAATGCATCACTCAGTGCATCCATTGTGTATGGTAACCAAGAGATCATAAATGCCACTACAGCGACCCCTAAGGTTTTTGCAGCCTTCCTTTCTCTCTTGGCCACTCTGGCTTTGTAACTCTCCAATGATGATTTTCTTTTGTTGCCACTTATAGTCGTTTCAATTTTTGCAGCTTGCTGTTTAGCTATCAAAAATATTTTGCTGTAGAGAATGATCATAACAAGCGTAGGTATGAAGAACAAAATAAAACTTACCAAAACCCAGTCTTGATTGATAACAATTTGGCAGCCTCCTACACAGTTGAGAGCACTCGCTAAGCTTTCCATCCCCTTGGCACTGATGCCTGTGTAGAACACAGCACCACTGCACAGCACGGGCAGAATCCAGGAGATGCTGATGCAAATTCCTGACACAGACACAGTGAACTTGGTGGGATAGACCAGAGGGTCAGTGACAGCGATGTACCTGTCGATGGAGATGAAGCACAGATGGAAGAGAGAGGAATAACAAAATGCCACATCACAGCAACTGTGTAGGCTACAAAATTTGTCTCCAAAGTACCAACAGCTCTCTATGGACCTTACCATGCTGAAGGGCATCACAGAGATACCCACCAAAAAGTCAGCACTGGCCAGAGAGGCAATGAGGAAATTGGCTGGAGAGTGCAGCTGCTTGAAATGGAGGACAGAAACCAGTACCAGGAGGTTCCCACACACAGCCAGCACAGCCCCAAAGCCAAAGACCATGTACAGGAGGCCCCTGGCCCCTGGAAAGTAAGGGGTTTTAATACAGGGTCCATTCATGTTCTCATAGCAGAGCTGCAGGGCTGGTTGGGAAAAGTTGCTGCTCATGAGTCTGCTTGGTGGTGCCTGAGGGCTTTCTGTCCTGGTAGAAGGCAACAGTAATTCTGAGATCTAAAATTAAATAAATGGAACTTCCTATCTTAAGGACTGATTTTAAATATTGTCCAGGAATATATTTCTTTTCAACCTTCATTTTAAAAAAATATTTAAACTTGCCGGGCATTGGTGGCACATGCCTTTAATTCCAGCACTCGGGAGGTAGGGGTAGGTGGATCTCTGTGAGTTCAATGCCAGCCTGGTCTACAGAGCTAGTTCCAGGACAGGCTCAAAAGCTACACAAAGAAACCCAGTCTCAAAAATAAAATAAAACTTAAACTCATAAATCTGTTTTTGTAATTAACTCCAGACATATCTAATATAAACTTTACTATAGTCCAGGAATTATTAACTGAATGGTAGAAAAAGTAACCTCAATTAAATTTTGAGTTCTAAGTTTAAAAAATCCATGCAGCATATTTGATCTTTTACTTTAAGTATTTTTCCAGATCACATCCTTTTATATATAATAAAAAAATGAAAAGACATCTAAAATTCAGAAAGTTATCCTGAGTTTAGAATCACATAATAATTTATAATTATCTCTAAACTTCATTACTAACCCAAAGCAAATGTTCTATGAGTTATCAACAGCTCAGAATCACATTATCTGAATAATTTGGAAATTTTACTTAAATACATGTTTACCCCAATGATGCTCTTCTCTGCCAAGGGTAATCACATATATTTAAGAAAATATTAGAGAAGGAATCTTTTAATGAGCTTCTTCCTCTTAGACTTTGTAGGCAGTGAGCCAACCCACTTCAACCATTATAAAAGTCCTCTCAGAGGGTTCCTGTGGCATGAAGTGTGAATCATAGAGAGACATTAACTTTGATAATTATAACCACTATGTCCTTCTCGGCAGTGTGCTCTCTGTGCTGCGCCATGTTGTACAGATGACTCATTTTCACCACCCAGGAGTTTCTCTCAGTTCAACAATCTTGAAAGAGCCCAGCCCAACATTTGACTCATTACGATGTGTCCTTATTCATTAATCTGCCTTCAGTTTTTGTAAGGCTTGGGACAAAATGAAAACAAATGAAAGAAAGGCTACTTACTTAAATGGGGTGGGAGGGTGAGATGGGGAACATATGAAAGGTCTAAGATTTTCATGTCTTTTGGGGTCTCTCATAGAGTGTGGTGTTTGCTGCATTTTGCTTCATTATTGCCCCAATTACTCTTTCATTGCCATGACAAAATACCAAGACCAAAAAGGCTCATCAAAGAAAGCATTTAGTTTGGACTCACAGCCCCGAGGGTTAGAGGCCATGACCATCACGGTTGGAGAAGTAGCTGAGAGAGCTCACATCTTGATCCATAAGCATCAGGCAGAAAGAGCTAATTGAGACTGCCATGGGCTTGTGAAACCTCATGCTCACCTCAAGACCATGTCTACTAATTCTTTCCACACAGCTCCACCAACTGATGACCAAGTATTCAAACACATGAGCCTATGGAGGCCCTTCTTGTTTAATCTACCAGTTAGGTATAGAGGTTTCTTTTTGCGGGGCACACCAGAGAGCCTCTCAGATGTCATTCTACCCAGCAGCTCAGCATGTATGTATGCAAAGGAATTGTATTGTCTACAGCATAAGAAACCTAGATTTGGAGAGAGAGTAGGAGAATTGGCCCTTCTAAATATTGTAACAAAAAATTTGGTGATACCAGCCTCTGCCTAGTTCAGAGACTCATAGAGAATACATGGCCACAATTCTGTCCCTGCATACAGGTGAGAAGAGGATGGCCAGGATGCATGGGTGGAAGGAGTAATTTAGAAGAAACTCAGAGAAGTATAGAGGAGGATGACTAACCCTATCAGGATTGAGGGATTGGGGCGTGATACAGGAGTATTATCTTTTTTGTTTCCATCTAATGGAAATTGAACAAAAAAATATATTTTTAAAAAATTATAAATAAGTAGCAGTAAGGCTCTGCTACTGCTCCAGGTGCAGGCCCATGTTCTTATTTCATTCCACGTGTTGTTAAATCTTTGTAGTAGCAATTTAATGATAGAGCTAAGAATAACCTACACCTTACCTTACAGCATGGCAGCCAGGCAGAGGGGTGTGGGAGGTGAGAGCCAGGAACCTACAACATGACTCACAGTTTCACATTGTCAATTTATTGGGAGTGTGGGAACTCAAGAAGGAAAACCAGAGCTGCAAGAGAAGATTTTCTGTTTGAGAAAATCTCATAAACCACTGCCAAATGGAAGATACAATACTGTTTTATCACACAGCAATTTGTTAAAGGTTGAAATATAGAAATAATCTGCCACCTAGGTTAAAATATTTTAAACCACTTTGGAATAATGATAAGAAATATAGTAGGAAGGCAAGTATTAGAAATGCTTTGTGAAAACAAGTATTCAGTTAATTACCTACTAATACTTCATTGTGATATTGCAGTCTCTGTAAATTCTTGACTATTTTGATTCCACACTACCTTTATTGTTTTTGTGTAGTTTTTTACATTTTTGTTTAATAAAAATTATTGTGTTTAGAATGGTGGCACACACTTTTAATCCTAGCACTTATGAGGCCGAGGCAGGCAGATCTCTGTGTGTTTGAGGACAAACTACTTTGCAAGGAGAGTTTCATGACAGCCATGACTGATACATAGAGAGATCCTATCTTGAAACACACACACACACACACACACACACACGTGATATATATGTGTGTGTTGTAATACTATATATATCAAATGATATTTCTCATTATGACATTTTATGTGTGTGCATAATTACTTTTGTATAACTGCTGCCTTTGTTGCTTGTTATTTTCTCCCCTTCATAGTGTCATTGAGTCAATTTTTACTTCACAAGCATTTCTTAGAGATACTGTTAATAATCTAAGGATGAAATTATGCTTGCTCAAACCACAATGTGCAAATATTCTGCAGCCAATCTTTCTTTTTCCTCTTTTCTGAAAGCCTCTATTTTCACAAACCATGACTGTTGAAAATTTGGACTTCTTTCAACTTTAGTTAAAAAGTTCAGGCCTTATCTGAGTAATATCACCCTTTCTTCCGCTGGTAGATAAGCAATAGTATATAGTTTTTGGTTTGAGGAAGATAAATATCTTTCTTCATATGTATTATACTATAGACTTATCTTTTTCTATCCTTCTGGGAGGAGAAAAGGGTAGATTAAAATGAATGAAATAATCTTATAACCAATATTGTTTGCTCTTAGCCTTCACTCGGTTGGCTCCATCTCTGTGTTTCAAGCCTCTATTCAAGTTAGTCTCATTCATTATGGAAACAATAATAATCCCCAATTACAAAGGGCTTACATCAATATGACCTCTTTCTATCAATTCAACTCCCATATGAAATTCATGCAATCACTGTCAAGGTCTTTCATCTTCCATGATGGTCTGGGTCATGTGGAATTCACACTTCTTTGTTACATGGCAAAGAGAGCTAGTAGTGTAAATTTCTCTCACTCACTCAAATCACCTTCCCAATTTTACCTTTCTTCTGTTCCAAATAAACATGGGTAAGTTAAGGAATATTACTAAGTAAAAAGACAAGTAGGAATTAAAGCCTGAACCCATTGTCATTACCTTCTTCAGAGACATAGTCCTTAAACAACATGACCTTCTAAAAATCCCATAAAAATTTCTATCAGAAACAGAATGTCAGCAGAAAATGGGAGAGAACCCATATGTCATAGCAGGGCAAGATTATCCCAATGGAATTTGATGTGTTTCATTCACAGAACTTGTATTTGTTTGGTGGCCATCAAACAAATGGACTTTGTCGTCAAAGCTATATGACTCTATGCTACGGGAATGATATTTTCCTGGTATCAATATTCTCTTTGTTTTAAGTTTCTTGATTCTGGAAAATGAGTGTGTTTATAAAGAAGAAATGGAAATACATCATTCAGTGATCTGGGCTAAGTTTACATGATTATGAAATTTTAATTTAAATTATATTTTGAATAAAACTTCAAATTCATAAACCATGTAATAGTTCCAGAGTCAGTGTGTTTGCTATTGGGTTCACTCGATAAACAGAAACTAAAATAAGGGCTCATATAATAAACCACCACAAGCAGAAAGATACTTAGGGATTAATGATTCACTAACACGATCACATTCATAATCAGATTTCCAATGTTTATGAAAATAGTTAGAAAAGTGCATTGATCTAGGAAGGGACATGGAAACGTTATTTGTCCAATGTGTTTGAAAGGTGTCCTAGTCAGAATGAGTATTGCTGTGATGAAACACTTTGACCAAGGCAACTGTGTGAGAAAAATGTTTATTTGAGCTACACTTCTAGGTAGCAGACCATCACTGAAGGAAGTCAGGACAGGAACACAAACAGGCCAGGAAAGGCAGGAGCTGTTGCAGACTTTGGTACTTATTGCCTTGCTCAACAAGACATCCACAGCCTGCTTTCCTCTAGAACCCAGGACCACCAGCCCAGGGGTGGCAGCACTCACAGTATGCTGGGAACTCCCTCTTCATCACTGATCAAGAAGATGCATCACAGCCAGATGATATGGAGGAATTTTATCAATCAAGGTTCCTTTCTTTCAGATAACTTGTGTCAAGTTGATATCAATCCTGACAGAACAAAGAGCTACTAAAAAGGAATTGCTACTTTCAGTGTAGTGGGCTGAATATTAGAGTTACTTTTGAATGCAGGCATTTACAATATGCATCAAGTACTGTAAAGCTTTTGTTTGTGTACACTGTCACGAAAGTGAAGAAGGAATCCTGTTTTATGGCTGCAGGATAAGCCACTCATTGAAACAGCTGAAGTCAAAAGAAACATGATGTTTAATATCTATACTGAAGAGCTACTAGCAAGGGACATTAGTGAGTCTGAGGAGACTTTAGTCATCTGCCAATCACACAAAGACAGACTTCTTCAAAACACATTAAATTAAGAAATAAGCCAAGTATAGTAGCTTAAGCCTCTCTCTAATCAGA